GCCATAGCTTAAGTTCTCCCTTTGATGGTTTATTTTTAATTTTCAGCTCTATGTGCCCTTACCAAGTGATTAAAGGCTTGATGATCTCTAGCTTAGTGAGCATGTATGAAACTACACTTTAGTTTAGGTAGCTAAGCATGTACATCTTTGATAGAATATTCTTGCCCATTGATTTTATGAACTTCTTGAAGATAATGTAGTAACCATGAGTAACTACTTGTCATGGCCATCTATTTATGTTGTTTTTCCCAATTAAATCATATTCTAGCATGTTTATATTATAGGTGGTGAATTCACTTCCCTAGCCCTCTCTACCCAGATCTCCTCCTTCTAAACTACTTACAAATTATTGTTTATTGCATTTTTCAATTTATAATTATAGTGACAAACCAACAAATCTCTACAGCCCTTCATCATTCTAAAAATGATTATAGACACCTAGGTTGCCATAAACTAGCAGTCCCTGTGGTTCGACTTACCTGACCAATAACCCTATTTTACAATGATTTGTGCTATTGCAAAGGTTGATTTATAATTGTGTCATACCTATCAATTTTTGGCATAGTTGCCGGGGACTGCAAATGGTTTAGCAACCGAGGTTCTAGGGTTAACTTTGGTTTGATTGTTAATATTGTGATTTGTGAATATTTCTTGTGTGATTTTGACTATCGTTGTGTTGTAAGTTGTTTGTGAGATTCTAGGGACTTGATGCTCGCCGAGGGAATGCTAGCAAATTTGTAAGTCTAGAGGCCCCCAGGTAAGTTCTTCGACTCTCTAGTTTTGAATTTGTTAGTATCGTGCATGTGATTAGAATTTAGCAATATTAAGTTAAGAAGCCCTTGTCGAGGCTATTTTTCTGTTTATTTTCAATTGCAAGCATCGGTCCTTGTCGTGGCCATTTACTTTCTGTCTTGATAATTAAGGAGAAAGGGAACATCGTATGTGGAGTTGATGGTGATGAAATATTGTGTTGATTATATTATGTGTTGTTGATGTTTGGCCGTAGATCACTTTCCCTACCCACAATCGACTCGCCAATTGACATAAATTCACTTGAAAGAACTCTTAGACGAAACCTTAGGGAATCTACTCATATAAAAGAACTTGAAATTGAATTTAACACAATGGCCGATAATGAAGAAAATTTGGGAAATGAAGGGATTAATAATGATAGGGCCGAAATTCCAAACGTGGTTCCCATGACTCTTCGGGACCACTTCATTCCTACCACTTATGCTTCCCCATCTTGCATAGTGATGCTAAATATTGAAGCTGCTTAATATGAAATCAAATCTAGCACAATTCAAATGCTTCCATCCTTCCATGGCTTTGATAATGAAGATCCCTATAAGCATCTTGATGAATTCCTTGAAATTTGCTCACCATCAAAATGAGAGGTTTCCTCGAGAATGCACTCCACCTTCACTTATTTCCATTCTCCTTGAAAGATAGGGCAAAGTATTGGTTAAACTCCCTTGTTGCACACATCATGGGCTCAAATGCAACAAAAATTTATTAAGAAATACTATCCTATGAGTAAAACCAATCAAATGAGGTGCGCCATTCTTAGCTTTTCTCAAATTGATGGAGAACAATTCTATGAGACTTGGGAAAGACTACAAGACCTCCTTAGAAAATGCCCACATCATCAAGTTCCAAAATGGCAATTAGTGCAAGCCTTCTATGATGGTTTAACCGAACCATATAGGCTCATGGTTGACTCTTCTTGTGGAGGGATGTTCGTGTCCAAGAATGCGGATGAGGCTTTGACTCTACTTGAGAATTTGAGTGGGAATTCATTTCAACATACTTCTCGTAGAGCTCCGACCTCAACCAATGCAAAGAACCCCACTCCGTATCAACCAAAAACATTGAGGGAAGAATCGTCTAAAGTGGATGCCATAGCCCACAAATTCTATCAATTGATGACACCATATTTCTCTCCCTATTTGTCTCAAAATTCGGCAAGTGCGGTGTGTGCATCTTGTACTAATCCATTCCACCTCTCGGAAGATTGCCCCACACCGGAGCAATTTCCCAATCCAAATCAAGAGCAAGCTAATGCCATGTTCTCAAGGCCAAGAAATAATCTATATTCCAATACCTACAATCCGGGTTAGAGATATCATCCAAATTTTTTGTGGAGGCAACAAGCCCCACAAAATTCTCAATTTCAAAATCAAGGGCATCAAAATCAGCCCTCTTTTCAATTTCAAAATAGGCAATTTCAGGCCTCTTCAAGCTACCATCCTCCTTACAATCCAAATGTCTCCACTCAACCCTCCTTGTGTTTCCAACTGATGAGATAGTGGCTGCAAACAAGCAAATGATGGATTCCAACAAACAACTTTTGAAATCTTTGCAGCCCACTCTCCAGATGGTTAATTCTCATACTCAATCCATAGCTAAACTTGAGAATCAAGTGGGTCAAATAGCTAACTCCATGAATCAATTGCTCAAAAAGGATAAGGGTAAGCTTCCCGCTCAACCATTTGAGAATCCTAGAGGGATGCATGTGATTGATGAAACCCCTCCTCTGAGTGGGCCAAGTCATAAACATGTTCAAGCAATCACCACCCTTAGGAGTGGTTGAGTTGTTGACAACAAGGTTGATGGAAGCAAGGATGACAAAAATTCTCCTTCGAAAAGTCCAAATCCTAGCTCTTCTAATCCAAATTCTACTCATAAAAATCCCAAGCTTATCACTCCAAATGTGGAAACTTCTTATGAGCCTAAAGCTTCGTTCCCTCAACGTCTCCAAGTGTCATCACATTTTGGGAATAAGAATTGCAAAATTCAAGACATGTGGGAAGTTTTCAAGCAAGTAAAGATCAACTTGCCTCTCTAGGATGCTATCAAGCAAATCCCCCCTATGCAAAATTTCTCAAAGACATATGCACTCAAAAGCGCACTTCTAAGAATTATTTGCCAAAGAAAGTAAGATTAACTGAGAATGTTAGTGCTATCATTCAGCACAGCACTCCTCCCAAGTATAAGGATCCGGGTGCCCCCACAATCTCGTGTGTCATTAGTGACAACAAGATAGAGAGGGCCCTCTTTGACTTAGGAGCTAATGTGAATTTAATTCCATACTTAGTTTACTTACAGCTTGGGTTGGGAGATCTTAAGCCAACTTTCGTGGTCATGTAACTTGCTGATAGATCGGTCAAGCATCCACGAGGCATTCTTGAAGATGTCATAATCAAAGTGGACAAATTCTATTTCCTGGTAGACTTTGTGGTTCTTGACACGGAACCGGTCCATGACCCAAAGAAGCATATTTCTGTGATCCTCGGTAGGCCATTCTTAGCTACGGCTAATGCTTCCATCAATTGCCGAACCAGGGTGATGGACATTGCCTTTGGAAACATGCAAGTTAAACTCCATATCTTCCATACAACTCAACATCCTTCCAATGAGGATGATTATTTTCTTGTTGATGTCATCAATGAATTGGTTGAAGAATTTCTCCCCTTCATTCTAAGTAAGGTTCCCATTGAAATTGCATGTCTCATTTTGACTGCTCAAACTTTGACATTGATAAGCGCTGAATATTGTATATTCAAGCGCCCTAAATTACATTAGTTAAGTCCATCGTTTGATTATTTAAGTATATTATCTTCATTTGTGTGTATGTATATATTTTCAGGTCCATTGGCCAAAAAGAAGCAAGAAGGATGCTTTGTGGAGTTTTGAACATCAAAGGTGCCAACTATACATCAACCGATCAATTTTTGGCGCCGTTGCCGGGGACTAATTGATCGGTTGATCAACTATACATCAACCTTCGCAATAGCACGAATCATTGTAAAATAGGGCTATTGGTCGGGTAAGTCGAACCACTGGGACTGCGCTAGTCTATGGCAACCTAAGAGTCTAGACTACTTTTAGAATGATGAGGGGGTATATAGAGTTTTGTTGGTTTGTCACTTATACTATGAATTGAAATATGCATTAATGAAAAACTTGCAAGAATTTAAGAGATGAAAAATGAGCAAAGAAGACTAAGGAAGTGAATCCGCCTCCATCCCTATACACATGCTAGATTAGACCTAAATTAGGGGAAAAACAACATATGATGGTCAAAAACTACATAGCAACACATAATTGCCATGTAAGTAATCAAGAGGTACATTAGGTCTCAAACAAGTATAATCCATCAAAAGGGTAAACATGTTGAGACTACCTAACTAAGGTGTAGCTTATACACATTTACTTAAATGAAAGACTATCAAATTCTTGACAAAATGATGAAGCACACGGAGCTAGAGATTAAGCATACACCATCAAAGGATTTCCTAAGCAATGGTCTATCAAAGTCACCTATCAACATGCCATTAAATCATTTCATAACCTTGTTTCCATTCTCACCATGTAAACTCAAGCAAAAAGATTAATACAAGACATCACCTAACATAAGATAATGAGCTTGAAGAAATCATCCATACTTATATAAACATTCATTACACCAAATGAAGTGCTCTTAGCTATGAA